ATTAAATTGTTCCCATGACTATCATCAATTTATTTTTTCCAGTTGTGGCAAATTAGGGAGAAAATGGAGGCATAGTGGTTAGTTAGCATTTGAACAATTGAGGCACATGGATGTGGGGATTGAGGAGGAAAAATTAGGTCACTGGTCAAATTAGTTTCCAAGTTTTATAAAATTTCAGTCCTTTTTTTTTTTATACATATATATAAAAAATGAAAAAGGCAATTTGGTCAATGGTGGGATGTTGTTAGGCAGGGGTAATTTTGATGCTTGTACCCAATTCAATTATGGATACATATTTTATTATTTATTGTGGTGGTTGGAGTTATTTAGAAGCCCCCATCTTTTATTTGTTCATTTATCATCTTCTCAGCCCAAAAGGCCTTATTGGATCAACATAAATCATAATTAATTAGAATAAAGACCTACTTCATATATATTTTACGTATTGTATTAATATAAAATTATAACAATTCATTTCTTAATTTTCAATATTCAAAATTTATGCACTTTTTTTTATCATATTTATTAAAAATTTTGTGTAAATAGTTATAATTAATCTCAACAATTAAAAATAAAAAGATAAATAATCAAAATTTTACATAAATATAATATATTAAATTTATGTACAAATAAATCCTTAATTAATTAACATGAAAAACCGAATGCACAAACTATAAGAGTCAAATCAGAAATATACAGACTTTACAATCAATCCTTTTTTTGATTGCCTATCTGTAAAATGGAAATAAATCTACTGATGACATAATTTAACCTGGATCCAAAAGCTATACGTGTGAAAGTGGATAATCTAGAATGACCCAAAGCAAAGGTACTTCTTTAGCCTTTTAATTCTGTCCATGGCACCTTTCTTCTGTCCATCTGTAATTGCAATATGGCTACTAGTTGGTGTGGAAGAATTATAAGGGGCTGATGAGGAGGAACCTTCGCCCTGCCGGTCTCTCTTCTGATTTCTGACGGGGTTCTTCCCAGCCTTATCGTCAGGATCCCTACTTTCCATGGCTGAAATACGCACTGGAGAATCAGTTTTGGGGATTTCTGTTGTTTGTAGGTTGTTTCCAACATGTAAAGATTCTGCACAGAAAATCAGAGATCAAAACTTAGGCAATGTTCATGAGATAAGAGAATTCATTAGGAACAAATTGGAGAAAGAGGGTAATGGAGTAAACACTGACATGATTTGGTAAAAGTATTTATTTAGCAACTAAAGACAAACATGCAGCATTTATTATCAAGAAAGGTTTCAATCATCCAATAGATTCCATGGCCATATCATGCAACTAAGAGGCCTGAAACAATGCCAGATATATGCCGTCCCACTGGATACTGCAAAGCAACATTAGTTCGTTATCACAACATCAGATGAGAAATTTAGTTTGTGCTTGTAAATTCATGCATGAGTATCCCAGAATCAAGATACCTCTTTGCTAAAAGACAGTTCCGTATGCATTTAATAGCCCATTATCTATGATTCCTGGCTCCTGCAATTAAAATAAGAAGCTAATGGGGCTAGCTGGCCTATACAAGACTTCAGAGGCTTCATGTTGCTGCCATTTCCATATCTTCATATTCCTCTCTCTCTCTCTCTCTCTCTTTTCCTTTTTTTTTTTTCTTTTTGTTAAGTGGAGAAACTTTGGTTAAATGATTTATTGTACCTTCAGGATTATTAAGATTTTTTGTCACCCCACGTTCAATTGAATTTGCATCATTAAATTCTAATTACCAATTGTTGCTCAACTAAATGATCAGAAAATATGGGTGTCATCAGCAGGGATGATATAGGCTGGAGGAAGAGCAGTAAATTACCAACCATCTATTCACCAGCAAAGGCTTGTTTTGAATGTTGTTCTAGCAAATTTAAAATAATAATAATAATAATAATAATTTAACAAGTATAGTTCCAAGAACGTAATTTCTGTGGCTTGGAAAATCATGTGTTTAGACTTTCGAAGGATATAAAAAATGCAATTTAGATGAGGCAAAAAGCATAAAATTCAAACAATGTCAAGCAGAATGCTTGAGGAAGTCAAGAAGAGTGGCAGCAAAATAAAAAGTTTGGCATACCTAAAGTAGCTGGAAGCATAACCACTTCAGTAGGATTGTGAGATACAGGGGCGGTGAATGTGTAACCTGCATACCTCTGCTCCAAAACTTGGTCCATTTCAGGCTCAAGGTCTTGCGAATCAAAAGAGGCACCTGATGACCTGGTCAAGCAACTTGAATTTTCTGAACTTGATGAAGGTGATGCAGGGATATCAAGATCCCGCAATTCCAGGTAGTCCTCCATCAGAATATCAGCTTCAGGCGGGTTTTCCATAGGATGATTAGTAAGTCTCTCCATAACAGCCAATGCTCTTATCTCATCATCCTTGTTCACCTACACATCATGACTAGGCCTCAAAACAAAAGGAGAGTAACCTGCATCTTCCCCATTCTCAAAGAGAAAAAGAAAAAGAAAAATTCCTTCGGTTCAATCCCACTCTAAACAAAACAAGAAACAAAGCCTGCAGATGGTTCCTCTAACTACAGTTGCCTACTAGTTTAATCACTAATGGTTGCCTAAATTTCATGACAATATGATGTCCAACCAGAAACGACATCTTGTCAAGGTATAAATGATGCTTAAAATTTGAAATCTACAAATTTCCCAGTCTGCTGATCATAACCTTATTAAAGAACATATTTGAAGTTGCAACACTAGAGCATCTGGAAGATATTTTAGGTAATCCTAAATAAGACTGTATAAGTTTGGTGGTTCTATATAAAAGCAACAAATTGAATTATTTACTTAAGATGAACATTTAAATGAGCTTCCTAATCAGCTGTTCATCAAGTTGCTGAGTGGTCTAAAACGAAAATATGATCTACATATCAATGTCAAATAATTGAATGTTAAATCCAAACCAAAGCAGAATTAAAGAAATACGAAATACAAGGATGCTAAGACTGATATACCTTGGACTCACTTGTGGAACCTACATTTGTATTACTGCCACCTTTTTGAAGAAGCTGCTCTGTCAAGTTATTCTGTTTTGTAGTAATAGTATCAGTTAATGACATTTTCTGTCTCAAATTCTGGTCAGTAATCTTCTCACCAGCAAGAAAGACTCTGCAGAGCATGGTGGCTTCCTGCATGCAATCAAACCAGACTGGCTTATGACTGGCAGGTTGGGTTTAGGTTAAAAGGAAAAATGAATGTAAATAAAAGAGCTCATACTGGGTTTGCAAATTCCATAGAATACCTTTGCCATGCTGTTCTCACACAGTGTCTTCTGAGTTATGCTAAACACTTGCATCAACCAATCAGTTTTACATTCCTGAGAGACTTGACCATCGTAGTATTGTAGAGTAGTTCTCCGGCCAATAATGGCAGAGTCTGAGAATACTTCACAGGCCTCCTCTTCAGTCTTCCAAAATCCACATTCTGTATCTGTGTTCTCCTTTGAGTTAATAAGGTACCAAATGCCCTCTGCATAAAAAGATTATTTTATAAAATTTGGTCATTATGGCAGAAAGCTTATCATCTGCATGCAACATGGCATATAATTTGCATTATGTCAATTAATTAAACAAGGCTGACTTTCTATTGCTTAAATTTACCAGAAATGATGAGTGAGCTACAGACTTAGCTCAAAGATAGGCATCTAAAATTCAAGAAAATGAGAGAGAGAGATGATTTTTAAGACTTTAAACCATTAAGAATCATAACAAGATGCAGTATGCCAAATAATTGAATCAATCAAGGTTCTGCTCAAGAATATAATGATCCTTACCAGGCAAATTATTAGGTCTATACTTGTAAGGATTTAAATCAATCACATTACAAGGGCGTTGAGATCCAGTCATCATTTTCTCAAGAGCCTTAAAGAGCTCCTCATTGGTACAGTCAAAACCAATATCAGCATGACAGGAAGAGTCTGGAGGAATCATGGTTATCCACTTCAAGTAAAGGTAAGCCAATCCTGACCAAAGGGTTTCTGCACTCCAGTAGTAAAAGGAAGGCCTGTCTGTCAAGCTGTTGAATCAAAATCAATAAACATGGGGAATAAGTTAGTTAAATATCAAGCTTCATCCATTTCCAAAGAATACAATCAAACATCAAAAAGAAAAATGATAATACTTGCACATAACACATTTAGAAAACAAATTCATAAAAGTGATGATCTGGCTTCCCCTAAAATTGTTCATTTTGTAGGTCAATGTTAAATACAGGGACCAAGGGAGCAAGACAAAAGAGTAAAATAAAGGAACAAATAAAAGTGAGACTGTGATCTACAGATTAGATTTCCGAATTATTATGTGCTCCACCTTAGATCTAAGAAGATCATCCCCAAATTCATATATTATGCATTAATAGAACTAACTAAATTTGAAACAAAGATGCAAATACTATCCTGAAAGGGATATTTACATTCAATTAAGTTAAACCACAAACAATAAACCTAAAATCTATGGGCTAAAATAGAAACTCAATGCAAAAATAGAAATGGCAAGATGCAGAACACGTGATCTGTGGTGAGAGTTTTCCCTTATACCAAGGAGAAGCAACAATCAGATTCCTTGTTCCTTCAATTCAAGCTGGGTTGCAAAACACTAAAATTGCAATAATTCTGAGCTTAGGCAGGTTTATTTTCTTAAATTTTGTCATATATAGATCATCATTAAAGATATAATTTTGGCCAAAACTACAATTAGATATTGATTACACAGATTTCATGCACTGATGCACCGAAATA